AAATAAAATGAAGTACAGTAATAGTCGGACGAACAGTGGCACATATAAAACAGTGGCACATTTATAAAAAAAAAAATCAATGGCCTACAAATTAGCATTTGTAGAAACCTACCTAAGTAGCCAATATTTTTCAATATTTTGAAAAAGGCTTTTAAAGTATTGCATTAAATGCACAAATTAATGGAGACGTTTTCATTAGTTTCATTTTGCGTCCTCTCAGTGCACTCGTTAACATCTTTTCACTGGATTTTACTCGCGCTCGGTCCCATAGCTCTCATGTAACTACAGATTTTTAAGCAGTCTATGTTTGAGCTCTCCAGCTGAGCTCTCTGTAGAGAAAGCAATAGTTTTGAGGCAAACCGCTCAAGCCATTGAAAATCTGCCATGCCATTGCGTGGGCACTATGAAATAAAACGCTTTCATTCATTTATTACATGGAAAGACTCTCCGTACACGCAAGGTGGTCTCTCGCTCGCTTTCCCTCTCTGCCGAGTGCGTGCAGCCGTGTGTGCATGCGCGATACGCGTTTTGGAGAACAACCTCTGTCTCGTATGCATGCTCGCTCTAGAAACCAATCAAATGCGGATGTCTTATGACGGCCAATGCTTGAGGTAGCTTGTATCAGGAACACTTTAAGGTTGTGTTTATATATTTTAAACCACTGAATTGCTATAAAATCGCGTTTAATTCGATTTTTAGCCTTTTAAATCGATTATTCACGTAAATAAACGATTCACGATTCAAAATACATGTTTCAGGATCGATTCATATGCATCGTCAGGATTTATAATCGATGCATCGAGAAAACGAGTGAATCGTTACACCCCTATATTTTGCTGTGATAAAAGATAAGTTGTATCGGGTGACCCAGGACCCACATTCAAAGCAAGATACAACTCAGTTGTTAGTTCCACAGAGCCGCCGGGAAATGCTTTTTCAGGCGGCTCACTCTAATCCAATGCCTGGGCATTTGGGGCAAGCAGATACACTAAATCGTCTAATGACCCGATTTTTTTGGCCGGGCATTTGGCCGCTTGTCGGTAATGTCAGTTGGTGAATCCACCGGCCAACCGAAAAGCACCATTACCTTTAATAGAGGTCTCCTTCGAAAGAATTGGCATGGACCTCATCGGGCCATTAGAACGATCTGCGCGGGGGCATCGCTTTGCATTAGTCCTGGTGGATTATGCAACGCGATACCCCGAACAGTGCCGCTTCGCAACATTTCTGCTAAAAGTGTTGCGAGTGCATTGTGTCAATTAACCTCCAGGGTGGGGATCCCAAGAGAGATTCTCATGATCAGGGCACGGCGTTTATGTCACGCACCATTCGCAAACTATATGAATTATTGGGCATTAAATCGATTCGTAACAGCATCTATCACCCACAAACAAATGGCTTGGTAGAACGATTTAATCGCACGTTGAAATCCATGATTCGTAAGTTCGTGCAGGAAGACGTCAAAAATTGGGATAAGTGGTTAGAACCCCTCTTGTTCGCTGTACGGTAGGTCCCCCAAGCCTCCACGGGGTTTTCCCCCTTCGAGCTGCTCTATGGGCGCCAGCCCCGTGGGGTCTTCGATGTCCTTTGAGAGGCTTGGGAGGACGGACCTTCGGATAACAAAAACGAAATTCAATATGTCCTGGACCTGAGAACAAAACTCCACACTTTGGGGCGGCTCTCTATGGAGAATTTGTTACAGGCTCAGGACAGACAAAGTCGGCTGTACAACAGGGGGGCTAAACTACGCAAATTTTCACCAGGAGATAAAGTGCTTGTATTGCTTCCCACATCCAGCTCTAAATTACTCACCAAGTGGCAAGGACCCCTTGTGGTCACACGGGGAATCGGGGATCTCAACTATGAGGTTCTTCGATCAGACAGGGATGGGACACATCAGATTTATCACCTCAACCTCTTAAAAAAATGGAGTGAGGCGGAGTCAGCGATACTGGCGACGGTAGTGAGTGGGGAGGAGGATCTCGGGCCGGAGGCGAATATAAAATCTCAATCCGCCACTCTGGCCATTTGTGGAGACCACCTCTGACCGTCCCAGATCGCTGACATTCAAGGTTTGCAAACAGAGTTTGCTGATGTGTTCTTGCCCCTTCTTGGTCGAACAAACCTCATACAGCACCATGTTGAGACCGACCCGGGTGTGGTAGTGCTTCAGCACCTGCCCCTTTGCCCCTTGGTGCACAAAGTGCCCTTTTGTCAAAGCAAAATTTCCTCTATTTTTTTTTTTTTTTGTATTAACATGCCCTTTTGTGAATGCCTTCCTGCCCATGCCCAATCTAAATATTAGTAAAATGAATATAATTTATATAATTTATGAATAATAATTTAGCGTAAATAAACCCACGTGATGACCTTTCACCTGACAACGACGGCCTCATCATTACGGGACGATTCGCCACCGCCCGGGACGTGAATTTTTTTTATTGCCAGAGGATATTTTCAACACTGCAGCAGCTGGTAAGTGGTGTTTCATTCTCAGCAAAGTGATTTTGATGATGTTTATTTACTTGTTATTATTTTACAAGAACGATGTGATGTGAAGAGAGCATGCAGATGTTGTTTATATTGTGTAGAGGTAACGTTAAATAACGTGCTGTTTGAGGGAGAAAAGTTTCACAGGCTTCGAAGGGTCTGGGTATTTGACAAATGTTATTTGACTAAACTATTATTATTATATTACAATGTTTTTTTTTAAACGTACAGTGCCTTAAAAACAATTATCACAACACTGGTAAAGCTTATTCAGATTTTCTCGTACTCAGAATTATCATTATAAAAAAAACAATTCAGAAATTAATTAAAATATATTTTAAATGTAACAACAATTTTTTTTTCTACAATAGCAACACTGTTTACAACAGCAAGACCAATATAGTCTGTAAACTCAATAATATCTCTCTGGAAATAAATGTAAATATATCAATGTCAATATAAAATGAATAATATACCTGACCCTACATCAAAGTGCAGTGTGAAGGAGATGTGACCCTAGTAGATATCAGGAAAAGGTATGAAATGTCCTTTTGTGTTTGTTTTCTGTAGTGCAAAGATGCCTCGCAAAGAGAGGATAAAAAAGCAAAAATGAAGGAGCTGCGTGAGGCAGCAAATAGCAGTGGATCCCTAGCTGGTTCATGAAGAGCACAACAGGTAATAATAACACATGTAGCCTGTCATTTGTTTTGCAAAGGTGATAAATTTTAGACAACAACTACTACAACAACAACAGTAAAAATAACATTAATTGCTATATTCCAGTGTATCAGTTGTTTAATGTCTTGTTTTGTATCAATGTGGACTTATTGATTAGGTGCAAGAGTAGTAGGGATGGTTAAAATAATAGATTTATGCTGAAATAGTAAATTGTGCCTTGTTCCTAGATGGTCAGAGAGTGGAAAGTAATAGATCAGATGAGGAGATGGAGACAGAGGAAGAAAAAGAGGGAAATGTAAGCGCACAAGTGACAGAAAGGGTGCAGGGAACAGCAAGCCAGGAGACAGAGGCTGGTGAGAAAGAGGCAAATGTAGAGGCACAAGCGACAGAAACAGTGCAGAAAGAAGCAAGCATGGAGAAAGAGGCAAATATAGAGGCACGAGCGACAGAAAGAGAGTAGAAAGAAGCAAGCATGGAGAAAGAGGCAAATGTAGAGGCACGAGCGACAGGAAGAGAGCAGGGAACAGCAAGTCAGGAGAATGAGACAGATGCCAGAGAGAGGCTATTTTCAAACCTGCTGAAACAACAACAGCCAACTGACCCTGCCCACGTCCTACAATTCAACATTAAATACGATGAGGCCTTTATCCAAATGTGTGACAATATTGGACCCTGCCAACCAGTACTGCCATTTCCAAAGAATGTCGAGGGACGGTCATTTCAGAAGAAATGGTATGAGAACAACCCATGGCTGGAATATTCTCCTAGCACTGATGCCATGTTTTGCTTCCGCTGCTGTCTTTTTTTAAATGATGAAAAATACAAGTGTCACACTAACTGGAAAAGTGTTGGATTTAATCGCTGGAGGAAGGCTTTAGAAAAAATTAAAGAGCATTGTGCATCAGAGGCTCACATGTGCAGTATGGTGAGGTGGAACTTGTTCAAGAAAAAATTACTGGAGTCAGCATTTGAAGTGGGTGACCTTGAGTCGCAAGCTGCAAAAGACAAAGAGAGGGAGAGGAACAGAGAAGTGTTGTCTCGTCTGATTGCCATTACTCTTTTCCTGGCAAGACAGGGCATGTCTTTCAGAGGAGATGATGAGACTTCATCAAGCCAAAATCGAAGGGAATACCTCTTTTCTCGCTCCTCTCGAACAGAACCCAGAATGACTTAATCAAAGCTTTGGGCATATCAGTAAAACGTGTCATCAGAGAAGAAATTCAAGAGAGCAAAATCTTTTCGATACTCCTAGATGAAACGACAGATGTGTCCCACACTGAACAGGTTTCGTTTGTTGTGAGATATGTACACAACATGAAAATAAAGGAGCGATTCATTCAGGTGTGCAATGTGCGTTCAACAAGCGGAGATTCTCTTGAAAACCTTGTGATGGCTCTACTGGAAGAAAATGACCTCAAAATAGAAAACATCCGAGGTCAAGGTTATGATGGGGCTGCGAACATGAGTGGGCACTATAAGGGATGGCAATCCAGAATCCTAAAGCAAAACCCAAAGGCTTTGTATGTGCACTGTCAGGCACACTGCCTTAATCTGGTATTGGTAGAAAGTGCAAAGTCAAACATCTGTTTTGTCAACTTTTTCAATCTAGTTGAAAAACTTTACACTTTTATATCCAACTCATCAAAACGGCACTCTGCATTTATTGAAATGCAGAAGAGGAAGCACCCCGATCAGCGTCCACTGGAGCTGAAGAAACTCTCAGATACTCGGTGGGCCTGTAGAGAGAGTGCACTTAAAACTCTGATGAAGGTCCTCCCATCTGTCATGCTGTTCCTTGAGGAAATGACACAGCAAGATCCCCCAGACTCCTCAGCTGGTGATGCAATGATCCTTCTAAAAAGCATCAATTTTGAGTTCTTCTTGTGTCTGGAGATGACCTGTCCTATCTTCCAGGTGACTGAAGTTGCATCTGATGCATTGCAGCAGAAAGACATGGACCGGGCTGCAGCATACAGCATTGTTGATAGAGTTTTAAAGAGGCTGGCCTACAGCAGAACAGAAGAAGAGTTTGAGAAGATGTATAAACAGGCTACAGAGAAGGCTGCATCAGTGGGCCTGGATCCTCCATCTGAGGTCCCTGGTCAAGCTAGGAGGAGGAAAGTGCCAGAGAAGTTCAAGTTTGCTGCCACATCAGCTACGACTGACCATGCTTTCCCAACTTTGCTGGAGTACTACCGTGTTAAAGTGTATTACGTTTTTGTGGACACGATGATACAGGAGCTTCAGAGACGCTTTAAAGGAGGAGATGATTCCAAATGGGAAATCTTGCATGCCTTCCATTACCTGGCAGTCCCAGAGAACTGGAAAACAGCTAGCATTCCAACAGCAGCATTCCAGGCTGTGAAGAAACTGTGCCAGTTTTATAACATTGAAGATGAAGACAAATTGCAGACCGAATTGAAGGTCTTCCATACATCATACTCATGCCCACCACCAGTCAATGTGTCATCTATTTTTTCAGTGGTCAAGGAAAACAATGCACATCTAGTTTTCCCCAACATGACTCAGCTGATGAAGACATATGGCACACTTCCGGTGTCCACAGCAACTGTGGAACGTTCCTTCTCTAAACTGAAGATGGTGAAAACCAAACTTCGCAGCCTTTGGAAAGAGGAGAGATTGTCTGACCTTCTTTTGTTGGCCATTGAAAAGGACATTCCAATAAATGACAATGATGTCATTAACATTTTTAGGGACATGTCCAACAGGAAACTTCTGTTATAAGTGCCTACAACCACTTCTCCTCCACTTATTGGTAAGTTTAAGGCTACACTGTGATTTTTTAGTAGGTGCCAACAGAATGAACACACATGCACACATTTTAGTTTCTTTATTTATATTTTTGATTAGACATAATCAAAATCCAACTACATCTGATAGTCACAATGCAATCTGAAATCATGATCACAGTATTGTATACTGTAGATACACAAACACACACACCTCTGTCTATATACATTTTTCTCATCCCCCAATTAATGTTTGTTTGTTTTTTTCTCAGATAATTTTACTTTTTTTGAATCTGGTATCTTATTTTCTCTACCTGCAGCTCTTGGTGTGCAGCAGCCAGTTGGGAGCATCTCCCTGACTCCCTCTTATTTTCTTGGAGCAGTCAGCCTTGGCAGGTCAGTGAGCAAGTTCCAAACACTGTTAGCAATATTTACATATTGTCATGGTCACATAACAATAGTTTAATCCAGCCCGATCTCATGAAAGTTCGTGTCTATGGCACGAATGTCATTTCTCGTGGCATTTATACGCCAAAAACAGTTTTTGCGTGTATTTGGCACGCGATTTTCGCGTACATATGATACGCACTTTTTTGCGTATAATACACACGAACTCCCCACCCCCCCTCCCCCTAAACCTAACCCAGGGTTTTTTAGTGCGTACCATATACACGAAAAAAACACTTTTGGCGTATAAATGCCACGAGAAATGACACTCGTGGTATAGATACGCACCTTCATGAGACTGTGTTGCAGCAATCAGCTAATATGTCTACAGTCTAACGTCAACTCCATCAGCTGCAGCAGCGGCAACAACAACAGCAAAAGCAGCATACTCAGTCAAGGACTTTTTTTCTGTTTAATGTAAATATTAATGTCTTGTATTTTTGTAATTCAGTTTTTGCCTTCAAAATAGTCACAAAATAGCCACAAATGCTGACATGGCATTGAATAAAACTATATTGAACTGAACGAAACATGGGCCACGTTGATTTTACTATAACGTTTTCTATAGTTTTTATTATAACAGCTGTTCTTAATTATTCTGTAGAACAGAGAAGAAAAAGTCATCAGGTTGGGAAAACTTAAGACATTTCAGTTTCTAATCCCAGAGTTATTATTAGGTGGACAGAATTTAAAACTTAAAATGGTCTTTTCTATTCTATTCTATTCTGTTTTTTTTGTGTGTTTTTTTTCAAAACTGCATCACAGCATTTGCTGCCATATCAATACATATTCTTCCGCATCGATACGAGAATCAGCAATGAACGATATATTGCTGTATTGATATTTTGAGCAGCGCTATTTAGTTACTAATGGGTTCCCTATATTTTCACTTTAGAATACTGTTCCAGCTTCTAAGTAATTCCTGCAGAATTATTTGATACTTATTTATTAATTACTTACATAAGTTCCCTATATTTTCAGTTTACCTCAGTCGTTAGCTCAAATACATGAATTTACTCTGGCATTCTATGCTGAGGAAAACAGACACACACAGTACTGTATATAAAATATACAAATAATCTGAGGTTAGTTTTGTATGACTCTTCAGTAGTTACTTCTTAGTTATTTTTCTTGAACCTTAATTAGTGGATAATTAGTAGTAGTTCTTAAGGAGGTATGACAGAATTCATTAGTTATTGATTAACTAACTGATACTTAACACAATCATAAAATTATATTACATACTGATTAGTTAACACATCTTCCTTAGTAGTTAACAGTTGTGAAGAAGTAGTTAATGAAGAATTACCTATTAGTTTGTCAATAAGTCCTTATTAATTCTGCAGTAAGTAAGATAAAGTATTCTAAAGTGTTACCAAAAATTGTATGTGCCAGGATCATACAAACTCAAAGTTCGTAATGTGCTTAAGTATGCTCTAGTGTAGGCTATCCTTGTTTGTGGTCAAAAGGTGTAGCACGCACATCCTAAACAATATAACTGAGTGCTGGGGCTCGTTCGTTGTACGTTGCTTAAAACATCCGAGATCAAATGAGACATCCAAGATAATATCATCGTGCTAATCATGATCCGGCTAATTGGGTTCTTCGAACACACCTGTTGTTTATGATTAGTATCGCTGGATTGAGTTATCTGAGATAACTGCGCGTTCTCGCGTTGGTTTAAAAGGGGACATGTATCGATAGCAGAACCAGTGATCAGCAACGCTGCTATTGGCTGTTCAGCTTGGCCAAAGAACAGTTTTTCCCTAAACCGAGCAAACGCTTTTAATGCAAGTGTGACCGGGTACTCTCCTCCCATGTTGTTGATTAAATCAACTAATGCTCGCCGCCTACAAATTTTCTTTAATCAATGACGTATCATTTTAATCTGCCTATCTCTACTCTTGTCGTTACGTAATTTCCGATTGCCCCAGGGGTTCCCCTTTACTTCCAGCGTCTTCGCATGGTGACTGCAGCTGTATGCCAGTTTTCCCCGCTTTTGAAACGACCCTTGCTTCTGCTTGTTCCAGGCAAGGGTAAATCAGTGTGCGACGCTGCCGGATTAAAACGAAACCAAGCGATGGACCGTTCCGAGTGTTTGACTGTGTCTATGGTCGGCTCATTTCAGGCATATAGCCAAACCAGTTCAGTGCGGCGCTGCAGGACCAAAACGAATTTGGAGTTTGTGACTGAAATTGACGCGATTTTATCATCGGATGCTGAGGGCCGCAGCCAGGAATCCCCCCCAGTTTTCTACGCGTGTTGGTGGTGGTTTGAACACTGGGTGTTGTGTGCAGTGAGACGCACAGACTTTGTGTGAAGTGATTAGAGTGTACTCCAAGGTGTGGTATGATTCCTTCTTCTGGAGCCCTCAGCAAAAGCTTTTGAGTGTAATCTTTAGTGTTGCTGTGATAACTTTTAAATGGTTGCGTCCTTATTGACAACATAACTTTGTTCTTTCAACGGCTGTGGTGTCTTGCCCGGTATTTTTGTCTGTTACTGTGTTTTGTAATAAAGAGATATTTTTTTTGTATGACAATCGTGTCTCTGTTCCGCACTAGTGCAACCAACTTGTGTGCCTTTATATAAAGTGTATCAATCATTCTTTGTGTATTTATCAGAGTGGCGTAGTCGGTTTCTGAGAACTGCATTTATTTCAATAGTGAGGCCTTGGCCCCTAACGCGTGCAGTACCTCCTCTTGCCACACAAGCTTATGCCGAATTTCAGTCTTTAATTAAAACGCCAGGGAACACCTCAAAGTGTGCAAAAGCCAGGAGAGAGTGCTGGCAAAAATAGAAGACAAATTAAATGCGTTTGTGGTGGCCATGTTAGATGTTTTAATAACTTATTATTATTATTATTTTATTTTTTATAATTTCATAATTACTTTGTTCATTGTAATGTTGAGTCACCATACTATACCAGTGTGGTGTATACCAGTATACAACACAATGGACATGGTGAAAGTGAAGTACAAAAATATTCTACTCGTAATTTTACTAGGCCTTATAGGCCTACTAGTCTCTTTTTAAAAGGCACTGTTAAAATAAATGATTGTCTGTTTATAAAAGCAAGTGCCCCAGATCTGAATTTCTGAAATGCATTCCGGTTTATTTTTGGAATCAAAGATTAATATTTGATCAGGTCAAATACTTCAGACAAGACAACAGAAAAATGCATCAGAGCTCAGTGTTTGGGTTATACATAATTCATTATATCCATAATCCAGCTCTCATTTATGAGATGAAAGGGTGGAAAATAAACAGAAATGTTCAGATGATGTCGTGGTGTGTTCTGTCTCATAAAATGAATAAAAACTAATGTAAATATTTGGTGGCTAGTTAGGACTAACTATCTCTGGCTATTTCATCAACAGTCTTTCACAGACATTTCTTTACTTGCATCCAGAATTGCTAAAAGCACTATATAGTGGGAAAAAAAACAATACTGCAAAAACTAATGTCGCCATTTTGGATTTGCTCTGGTCTCGCGTAGCCAGACCTTCAGACTGACGGCTGAAGGTCTGGAATTCATAGCAGCATTCTTTGGCCAAGGCCCACCCATAAGGCCGTTTGACCGACATGTCAAACAACCAATTACAGTTTGTTTTGTTCGGCGTCACATTTCGGGGAGAGGAAATGTCCCCACAACAACAGACCGGTGTGCAACAAGTCAATCAAAGAAGGAGAATAAAACAAGCAGTACCGTATTTTACGCACTATCAGGCGCACTTAAAAGCCTTTAATTTTCTCAAAAAACGACAGTGTACCTTATAATCCGGAGCGCCTTATATATGGATAAATTGGTTAACAACGCTCCACGTTATTAAATTCGCCCACAAACTCGCTTGCTTCCATCTTATGTCGGGCTTTGTCACACGACCAGTTCAACCTCGTATAAATCAGGTTATGTGTGTAAATCACGTGCCCGCTCACGAGTGCTCACTCTTAACAGACACACTGTCCCCGGCACTGCTCGCACGTCACAGAATGTTCATAAAGTGCTCCCTGTTCACAGTAACCGGGTCGTCTCATTCAACAGCCAGCTGTTGCTGTCAACGAGCCGCCGCACATACATGAGTCAGGCTGTAAGTTACATGCCTGCCCCAGCGTGCTCATGCCTATTAAATAAATGCCTCACCTCTGGCGCCGCGCACTCGCTACATACCCTTTAGCCTTTAGCACATCTAATGGATGCATAACGCAAACCCAGCCAAACGTTTGACTGCAGTATCTTATGCACCTTATAATCCGGTGCGGATGCGGTTCGGTACTTCACTTGATCTTCCATAATAGATAGGAAGGGGACATACAACTACGTTTAGCTGATCTTGATAAATGATCATTGTCATCATGTAAACACAACAGTTTTTCTTCTGCAATCACACGTCTGCGCTTTGTTTCCCGGCGGACCGAAAATAAATGCGACACTCACGCCCAACTCATGAAATACAATAAAATTCAACCAATCAGATGACGACTTCGACATTCCTGAAGTGTTCCCAGTTAAGTGTACCATATGCACCAGATGTTTAGCCAACGTTCTGTGGGCGTGACGTCTGAGGCTGAGACTAGATTTGCTCTTGATGCAGTGGTAACATTAATTGTGAAATAATGCATTGCCATTTTTCCTAAATGAAGTTTTATTAAGTTCGGGAGGAGCACGTTCAGATAATTGACACGAGTGGACAGCAATCAGCAATCAATGATAAGAGGGTACAAATAGACCCAGCAGTCTTACCTCAATCCATTGACAGTTTGCAGCATTTGGCCATGTCCGAATCTATCTCTTCCCATTTCGATAGAGAATCTTTCGTCCTTCAGAATTAGGAATCTTTGCCGCAACCTGGTTTTATTTTGTGGGCGTCAAGCCAAACAAACGGGTCATCGGGAAATGGGAAACATCCACAATCTACATCCACGTATTTCTTTAAACTGGACCATTCAATAATTCCTGCCATAGAGAAATGGACAAGGCAATGCTGCCCTCTTAACGCAAAGGAACGGACCTCAGGCCGTCGCAACAGGCCGTAAGTAAGTTAAGCCACGCTGCAGATCCAGTCCCGGCTGATCTACACTCTCAACATCTGCCGGGTCAACTCTGTGAGTGCTTAGCTGAAAACTTTTGTGCCCCTGATTGAATTTCGCATCGCTTAAATTGTTGAATGACGAGCAAGTTACACTATCTGGATACTAATTGTGATCGGAGGATCACACATTTTTTAAATAGTTTCTGTACAAATGATTTGCGTTCCTTAAACATGATGCTTCCTTATGGCGTAAACTCACATGTAAACAGTAGGGCTGGGAATCGATTCTAAAAAGAATCGATTCCGAGGCGTTAGGAATTGAGAGTCGACTCCTCCTTTAAGATTTTAGTTCAGACTAATTCTAACCCACAGCTTCACCATTTGGTTTACTGATTCAGAACGAACAAATCGGCAGGGAACGTGACCCTTAGAAATGACAAATAAA